ACTTTGAGAAGTAAATCACTCACCCAGTTACACAGCTTTTAAATGGCCCAGCTAGGATTTGAATTCAGCTCAGTTTACCTCCAAAGATCATGGGAATGACCTTTGTTATGGAAGTTTATACTTTCTTTTAGTTATTTTTAAATATCTTTAGGATTATTTTAAGTAAAAGTAAAATAAAATATAAATAAAGCCAACTGAGAAAACACTCTTGCCCTTGATTGCTCTTCTGGGTGCTAAGTGCTGGAGAAAGAAATGAGACCCTTGTTCCAAGACATCACTCAAGTGAGAAGTAAAAGCAATTAACTGCATACATTCCATTCTATACAAGTCCAATTACTATGAAATTATGCATGGACATTCCTTCTTTATATGATTTATATAGATGCTGTATTATATTTTAAGTAATACTACTAATTCTGAGAAAAATTGAATACTCTGCATTAATGATCTTGTGAGATTCTCCCTTGTTTGCTTTTTCCTTCTCTTCACATTCAGATTACTAGTCTTCCTTTGTTTGCTTGTGGTGCTGGGGACTGAACCTCTACAAATCCACTGTATGGCACCCTATTGCTTCCTACATTTAAACTCCCATCTTAATCAGAATAGGACACAGGAAACAGCTTGTGGCTGTTCCTTCACTTTCTATTTAGTCATCCTAGCAGGAGAGAGATACACAAAACATCCTCTAAGAATTAATACAGTGTAAGAATAACCTTCCTTCTCTTCTTTGTTGTCATCATCATCACCACTATTAGCCTTCACATTTATAGTGCGTGTTTCATACATCTCTACACATTTAAATATTTTAGCAAAATAGGTATAGGAATTACAAATGATATTTATTGATATCATAACGTTGGTTAACACAGTGTTTATAGTGTACATATTAAGCACCACCTGGAAAGCCTGTTTAAATGCATGTTCTGATCAGTAGGGTAGAGTAGGACCCAATATTGATTTGTTTCTAATAAGCGCCCAGGTGATGCTAATTCTGAGAACCCCACTTCAATCTAAAATGAGTAACATTTATTGTTTGCCATGTCCCAAGTGCTCTAAACCATAACTACCTTATAAGGAAGAGCAAATGGAAGGCATGTCACCTGCTTTAGAGATGAGGAAATTCTTCTGACATCTAGTTTACTTCGTGTTCTATTCTACCGCCTCTCTTTATTTGAGTTTAACCTCCTGTCCATACTGTAAAGGTAGGCAGCCATTAGTTTATAATATGTTCATAATTCAACATTTAGCAAATGATATATTTTTCAAGTTTTCTTCCTAAATAAATAGCTAAAAAAAACCCAGTTTTTGCCAAAACTACCATAGTTATTATAGCTCCTGATTACATACAAACAAAATAGATAATATATTTTTCATGCTTTCATTTCTTTGCCCATCTGTTAAAACTTAATATATTTAACTAAGCCATATATTCATAAGCTGATGCATTTTATCCCTGCAGATTCTGTGACATTGAATCTTTACCCCTTGCTTTAGCGGAAGCCCTCATTTTCTATTCCTAGAACTAGCAGCATTCCATTTGACATTTGATGCCCATGAGATTTTTATAGAATCTAGGTTATGAGATTGGAGTCTCTAGCCACATATTTTTGAATGGAGATCTGTGTTTCTTTTCCTGGAGGTGTTCTGTATTATACTTTTCATTGCTAGGGTTTTGAGCATATTTTAAAGCCTCCAGTGATAAACCCTTTTGCATAATAATCACCATTGACTGGAGAGCTTTTCATTTATTTTAAAGTGAATTTGTTCGGAGGAAACACAACAATATGAATTCCCTCTCTACTGCTAACTCAAAGCAAAAGCTTATGTTAATGTTACAGTGATATAGTGGGAAAACTGTTTCCTGCTGTAAATTTCAGTATAAATAGAAGTTTCTTTTGAAAAGACAAATAAGGAAATATGTTTAAAATGAGTAGTACATATGACTCAATCAATGCCAAGTGTTAACTCAAGCAAAGTATACTAAGGTATCCTTAGAAAGATAAGCATTCAGTTATTTGGTCTTCTAAAATATATAATACATAATCCACAACTAACTCATTGAAAATGGACTCAACTAAATTATTTTATTCTCAGTGACAGAGGAAAATTAATGACAAGATTGTTGGTGTTTCAAAAATTTTATAGTACAAATATAATGTTTGCTTAAACTTATACTTAGTACCAATTTGTAACAGCTAAAGTCTATCTGCTTTACATCTGTCTACATGTACTGGCCAAATTCATCCATTAGATTAAAATTTGAATAAATTTAGAATTAACTAATGTTAACTGACTGAAGTAAGTGAAGATAATCTTTAAGCAAGCCATTAGAAACAACAGAAAAAAAAAAAACAAAAATGAAGAAAACTAACATTGGGCCAGCAGTTCCTCTGTACCAAATACTATTTTAAGTATAACAAGTATTATTATTTTTAATTATCACAAAAATATTATGAGGTAGGCAGTATAGATTTGCTGAGAAAGATGGGGTCATGTAAAATAACCTCCCAAAATAACACAGTTAGAACTCACATTCATACACGATAGTGAGTTGAATCACATGACCACTGTATACTTTCCATCTATCAACTTCAGTTTAGAACTTGCTTTAGTACAAAAATCAATGTCAACTCTTAAAATAGGATAATTGGCTAAACTCCTTAGTCTTTAAAATTTAATTTTAAAGCATTATGCTAAAAGTGCTTCCTTTTGCCACTAAATAAACATTTACATGAATTAAATTTTTGCCATTTCCAAAGATGCTAGGTAAAACTTCGGTCCTTATGGTTTGTTAATCATCGTAATAACTGTCACACCACAAAATTGTAACTACCTTTGATGTTATGACATATAACAGTGACTAAAGAAACAGTCTGTCCTAGGTCTTGGGCTAAATCATGCTCCTCTACAGAATACCTCCTTTAAGGCTTATTAGTCATCATCATTGCTTTTTATTTTTGACTTTTAGCATACAAAATCTATTTTAATTTGACAAATGATAAAGAGATACAAAATAGCAAAGCATCCTTCATATTGAATTGTCTCTCTTATTTTGCCCATTATTGTTTTTCTTCATAACAAATTTGGTTTTCCATGAAGTAAACTTACTTGCACACCGGTGCTTATATTAGTCCTCAGAATGCATGTAATAAGATGGCTATGTCAGGTGTTACTTTTCACAGTTGGTTTTTCATTGCGCTTTGACACAATTATGTCTACTCACTAATATTTTGACACTGGTTCCATCAAGAAATGCATGAACTCTGAAGCTCCCAGGACTTTAGCCACCTGCTTCACATGACTTTCACTTAAGATGATTGTATCAGTAGGACCTTAAAAGTCTTCCTCTTTGTGCATCCTCTCTCCCACTCAAAATTTTTCCTTATTATTTTGTACTTTGGACATGGTTAAGAAAAAGTCAGAGTATGAAGAAATTTGTGATCTAGGCAGGAAGATTGATTTCATTTGTTTTCTTCTGTTTTGTGATGTCTGTTTTTCTGTGTTTGAAATCAATGCCAATACGATATTAAACAACCCCATTGTTATCTTGTGCTAAAGTTGATTTACTTACCTTGTGACATTGGTGTCATCCTGGCCATAGTCAGCTGGCACACTTGAAACTGCAGGTAGTAAGTACCTTCATGCCAAGCCCCTTTCGTTATCAGTAATTTAAGGCTCCCCTTATTAGGGTTTTGTGACAATTTAGCAGTGGTCAATTGAAACTATCATTTGAATTATTAAGAATGGAAATATTCTGAAATCAAACTTTCCATAATCAATTCTGATTTAATAAGCATTGTTGATGACATTAGCTCATATAAAAAGGTTTAAAAGTAACACTTTCATAGCCAAATTGTAATAATTAATTTTTATGTCTGCATAAAGCCAAATGAAATAGCATACTTTTACAATCCAAGTAAAAATATTTTTTCTATTTATACCCATTTCCAGAAAATTTCACTATGTTTTCAGTGAATTAAATATTAGCACCACTCTAATCTATTGTGAGAATGGATTATGATTTATAAGTTAAGCAGATAGGATAATACTAGAAATTGAATTATTCCAAAATTCTATTTGTAAGACTTAAAGCATTATTGCTATTTTTCTTAGTTTATCAATAAATGACTATTTTTTAGAGTAGTAATTTCTAAACCTTGTAAAGGCTGTTCCCAATGCAAAATTTTGTTACATTATCTTTTTTCTTTATTTCACACTAAACATAATATTTTTAAATACCCTAATCATGGTTTTAAAAAGAAGGCAGCATAAGCAGTATATGCTCCTCTGATCAGCTCAGAAAACACAAGTATGATTTGTCAGCATTCTTGAATGTGTACAAAGCTATCAGTAAAGCAGATTTATTAAGTGGTCAGGTTTTATTAGAATAGAAATATCAATTCAAAGAAGTCTAATTTGCTCATTTGATGGCAAAACTGATGTCACATTGGTACATATTTACAAAATGTAGTCAGTTGAAAAAAGCTCACTCTAAAGTATTACTTGATCCAATTTGATTAGGAGAGGACATCAAATTTTAGACCTCACTTGACATTTGTCTTTGTTTAGAGGTTACAAAAGACTGGTTTATAATTTGAACTCTTAAAGGCGCAGGTGAAGGGTAGAAGCAGTATATTAAAAAGACCAATCCTTCTTCCATAATATGATGTGTGTTGTGTGGTTTTAAATATTTATCAGTTATTTATATCTTAATTGCAGTTACATATATTGACTAATTGAATGAACATTACTCAGGGTGAGAGTTCCTGAGACTAACAGCTTTGGGGAGTCAGGATTGAAAGAGTTTTGAAAACTATTTCAAGCCTTTCGTAAAACTATTTGTACTGTAGAGTAGCAAGAATCTTACAGATATCAGAATGAAAACTAGCTCATTTCCTGGGGCCATGAGTGACAAGAAGAGAGTCATGTATAAGTATGCTCATTATTGAACTGTTTCACAGTGCCTTGTATTTTAAAAGTGTCTTTATCTTGTCTTTCAGTCCTCCACAAGCAACCCAGAGAAGTGTGTCTCTGTTTGCTAGAGCTGGGCCGAATTGCAGCAAGGTAGGTCAAACTACTGCCACTATGTCAAGACGTAGATGATCTCAGCATCCAAGCAACAGAGAAGCTCTCTGGCTTTTCAGTGCTGATGTTTAACCTAGATGTTGAGAAACCATATATTCAAATATGATAAGTGTGACATCTTGTGTGCAGTTGTTCGAACTAAAATCGCGCTACCAGTATTCTTAAGGCCACAGTCTTGTCAAAACCTAAATGTCTAAGCATTTGCTAATATCCATCACTCAAATACATGTTCCCTCTAAATCTTTCTTGGAGGAATATCAAAGAGAATCTTGTACTTCAACTTGTTCCTTAGTGGAAAGTTTGTTTCTACTCTCTCCTGTATCCTCCTCCTTAACCCCCATGCTTGTTGTCTTACTCCTTCATACTTTTCAGATTCCCTTTTTGCTATTTTTCCTCATTTACACCATTCAATACATCATCCCTCAGCTCTTTTAGTTTCCACTTCTGAGTGGGGACATAGTTTTTAAATTATTCTCTATGTTTTTATGAGACACAACTTAGATAATTATATGGAGACATCTTTGGAAACTTTTTTCTTCTAGGGAAGAAAAGCACGAAATAATTGTAGCAATCACAGCTAAAAGAAGCAGAGAAAGGATCCTTATAAGATAAGCTGGCCAAGTTTGGTTTCTTATTTTCCATCAGAGAGTGCTTCTGATAGTTGTATAAATCCAAAGAATAACAAATGAGAATGGCGCAAAATAAGAATTCAGACTTAGATGTTTTCTGATTCAAATGTGGATATATTCTTAAGGTTGACATCAGATGAACCAGTAAAATGCAGTGAGAGATAGCACTAAGTATACATACTCAAGTACAGAATTTATGTGGAAAACTAAGTGAAAGAAAATACAAAGCATACACCTCAGGAAGTTAGAGCATGGCTGTAAAACTTTTATTGATCCAATATAAAATTAACCTATAGCCAGAAGTAGCCCCAGTTCCTTAAATTATCATAGTCAATATAATTTTAATGAATTACACATCAGGTTTGAATTTTATTTACTACAATAATTGCATTGAGAAAGATTGCTCTCATATTTTTAATTCAAATTAATGTTACTGAAGGTCACCCAATAAGAAGTAAAAAAATAAAAACTCAGTTTGAGACACTTGGGGATTTCCTTATTCTCTCTCACCCTGTTTCCTAATAATTGTGCAGATGTATCTTGGGAAGAACCCCTTGTTCTTGGTTCATTCAGTTGTCCACTACTCAAGTATAGTTCAAATGTGGGGCCTCTTTCTGTTTAAACTCCATTCCCCTTTAGTGCTGCTACATCTTTGAGTTTTGTAAGGATGTAGAACCAAGGTACTGTTTCTTCTAAGTCCTTGCAAAGCATGTGCCTCCTCCCCACTCTTGGGACTTCTGCTGCAGGAAGGGCAGGGTTGAGTCAAAGAAGTACCACAAATTCAGCAGCCATCAAAAGGGAGGAGCAGACATGAAGTAAAACCTCAATTAATGAACTGCTGCCACTGAAATGCTCAAGTAAAAGGAACACGGGTGGTCTAAAGGTCCTCTTAACAAAACACTAAAATATTCTGAATAGCTAGATTCCATTTTGTGGCTTAAGTAATGTGATTTATATGCACCTGAAAGTCACCATGCTTGTGAAAGATATGTCGTTAACAGAAGTTTCTCTGCCTCTGGAATGAGCTTGGATTTTCCTTGTTCTACCCATTTAGTTTCTAGTTCTTGGCTTCGTTTCTTGTTTGCTTATTTTTTATTTTGCGCAACTATAGTTTTATTACGTGAATGCTCTGGTGAGGAAAGAACATTGTTAATTACAGCTGAGTCAACAGAGAAGTTGGGTTACAGAATGATAACATGCCTTTAGGAGTCATCTTTCCTCCACTCATGGATCCAGCATCAATTGCCTTTTGCCATAGGATGTAAAACAAGTTAAAATCATGGCTAATAAAAAGAAATCATAGTAGATTTGTCAATTTCAAGGAACAATATCAAGAGTTCTCCGTCACCACAAATCTTTCTAAATTCATTCCGGGTTACTTCGTGTCAGATCATGCTTTATCACCATGTAAGCTGATAAAAACAGTGATTATTGCAAATATTATATTAAAAAGTTACTGAAATCACAGTGAAGTTAAAGAGTAAGATAACTCTTACATTATAATAGTTATTTATTTTTGGTGTGGCTGGGGTTTGAACTCAGCAAAGCAGATGCTGTGTACAGTCTGAGCCATACCTCCAGTCTGAATTTTTTTTTTAGCAGTACTGAGGTCTGAACTCAGGGCTTTGCACTTTCTAGGCAGGCACTCTACACTTTAGGCCACACCTCCATCCCTTTTTACTGTGGTTATTTTGGAGATAGGGTCGTGCTTTTTGCCCAGGTCAGTCTGGACCACAGTCTTCCTATTTTATGCTTTCCACCATCACTGTAATGACAGGTACATGGTATCATGCTCAGCTTCTTATCCATTGAGTTTTTTTTCTTTTGGCCTGGGCTGGCCTGGAACCATGATCCTCTGTATATCTTGGGATAGCAGGCACGAGCTGCTGTACCCAACTGTTGCTTAAGATGGGGTCTCCAAAAATCATATGTTCTCCCTCATATGTGGACATTAGATCAAGGGCAAACACAACAAGGGGATTGGACTATGAGCACATGATAAAAGCGAGAGCACACAAGGGAGGGGTGAGGATAGGTAAGACACCTAAAAAATTAGCTAGCATTTGTTGCCCTCAACACAGAGAAACTAAAGCAGATACCTTAAAAGCAACTGAGGCCAATAGGAAAAGGGGACCAGGAACTAGAGAAAAGGTTAGATCAAAAAGAATTAACCTAGAAGGTAACACCCACGCACAGGAAATTAATGTGAGTCAATGCCCTGTTTGGCTATCCTTATCTCAACCAGCAAAAACACTTGTTGCTTCCTATTATTGCTTATACTCTCTCTACAACAAAATTAGAAATAAGGTCAAAATAGTTTCTGCTGGGTATTGAGCGAGGGGAGAGGGAGGGGGGTGGAGTGGGTGGTAAGGGAGGGGGTGGGGGCAGGGGGGAGAAATGACCCAAGTGCTGTATGCACATATGAATAATAAAAGAAAAAAAAGATGGGGTCTCATAAACTATTTACCCAGACTGGCCTCAAACCATGATTTTTCCAGTCTCCCAAATAGCCAGGATCACAGACATGAGCCACAGGCACCAGGCTTAATGTGAATTTTTTTTTTATCTTTTTGGCCTACTTAAGTAGCGTGAAGTGCTATAGTTTTTTCAGTGAAAAAGAAAAAAACCTACAATGTTACTCATGGTGTTACTTTCTTTACTTTGTGCATCATGAAGTTAAGTACTTTTAAATACCACTTGGATAGATTATTTAGGTGTAAATGTCTATTTAAATTTTTCTCTGTATACATTGGAAGATTTTTTGTTTTGATGGAAGTTCAATTGTGCTTTACAAATGGCAACCCAACACAACCAAATCTTTCTACTTTACCCTTGTGTTGAACACAATAGTCGAGGAAACAAAAAGGAAAACCAACCCTCTATTTTACTTCTAAATTTTGCCTTAGCTATAATTATAGCTATATACCTATATGTAGATGCTTGACTTTTTGCTCCTACCTCTCTCCACTCCTCTATAGGGGATTACACAAATTAATGAATTAAAATAGCTTTAGCCAAAAGTAGCAGTGACTTTGGGAGTTCACTCAAGAACCACAACATTGACTTGCATATAGAACAAAGAGTTTTGATTTTAACAAAGTTCCCAATGCAATCCTGTGAGTTTGATGTTCTTCACTGATGTGTTCTTATATCCTACTCTGAACATTTTCTTCTCCAAATTTCACAATATCATCTTGAAAGCATCAGCATCACTTTGGAAATGATTCCCAGAATGTTTCTGATTCTCTGCCACCTTTCTTCTGCCTAGGGACACTTAAGTGCAAAGCTCTAAGAGAGCTGTGGGCTTCTTTGAGTTCTGAGATGGGAGAGTGAAACCACTTATGTTGTTTTCATGGGTAAAACTTCCTTTTATTTTCAACTAAATAGAGCTATCATTACTGGAGAGTGAAATCTCGCTGCTATTATTTCAGAAAGATGTCAGTTTCTGAATGTGGAATTTGTGTTTGCCTTCCGAAAAGTAAAACACTCACAAAAACAACTCAGTGAGATCTCAAGGATATTTTTAATCACAGTGCTTTGACATTACTTGCTGAAAAAGAAGTCACTATGAATTCAACATTTTAACAAGCTGTAGAATTAAGATTATCTTTATGATAAAAATGAAAAACTTCTGAAATTTTGGTTTGTGCCATAATAATCAGCATCGTGGTGGAACATTTTATGACTTTATTTGTGAGTACTTCTTTGATTTAGAACAAAATTTATAAACGTTCAAAAGAAAATTCTTTAATCTTCTATTTCAATCTGTGGTCTAATGAAAAGAAATCTTACTTAAAAGAAAATTATTCTTATATCAAGATTACTAATTGGCTCATCTTAATTTAGACCACAAGAACTTACTGCTAAGCACATACTGTGCTTTCACATGATTGGAATTTTTCCAAATATAAATTGATCTTTAATTTGCTTTAAACATAGCAAAGCCTTGTATGCACATATGAATAATAAAACAATAAAAAAATTGCTTTAAACATAGAAGAAAAACTGGGCAAAATCTATCATGCAAGAATCTATAAACTATCTGTGACATGCATTAAGAGGGGGAGTTTCTTCCATTTTTCTATAAAATTTGTCCCTCTAACCCTAGTAAAATAGGCTCCAGATGTCTATTGAAAATTAGTCTACTAAATCATTTGAGTAAGTTTTCTAGTTCTCAACTCGGTTGTTTGTGGGTCTACTTGTTTTATCTAAATCAATCACAAAAATTGTGTGAAGTGCCAGTAAAATAAGAAATCCACTCCTAGATTCTTCTCATAAAGTCATCAATCAAAAGACCCTTTTCCTAGCACTTTGCTTTTCTTAATGAGATAAAAATAAACATTTGCCCTTTAGTTATTTACCGTACTCCATACCACTGAAGTCTACGGGTTTGAGAATTTAATTTTAGTGGATTCAGCCTTATTGGTGTCTTTAGATTGATCCTTACTGAATGTAAGAACTACAGCTATCCCCCCTCCAAAACTTTAAAAACTTATAGTTAGAAAAGAATGGAAAACAGTATATATTTGTCAGGGCCATATAGACAAAATTGAAATGTGAAGTAGTCTAAAGGTAATCAACAGAAACAAAGTGAAGCAGCCTTTCGGAGAACAGAGAAAAGAATTATTTGATGATAAATTTGGCTTGCAGGTGCAAGACCTGATCCCAGGGTAATTTCATGATTTATAGCCTGTTGACATCTCCAGACAGACAGGAAGGCAATGAATTTATTTAAGTGTGCATTTCAGGACTGGCCAACTCTACCTCAGGCAGCTTGAAGTATTCAAAAGCCAAGATAAGCAGAGATTTGGGGCTTAGTGTTGATTTTCTATGTTCAGTGGCATAGCTAATTTTCTGCTTTCCTAGATAAAGAAAAATCTCTAGGGCAATATTTTCCATGTGTGATTTTGTAACCAATTTTGTTCAAACTTAGTCTACTTTGTTTATATTGGAAATGAAGTTGAGCTTGTTGTTAATCTGGTAGCATATTAATTATTATTTTGCTGTAATTCTTAAAAGCTAAACTTAAGCAACCTGTTCATGAAAAGTGGCATGAGTCCACTACAATTACAAATGAAATCATATTTTCCAAGTGACCTAATTTATGTTTTTCAAATATGATGTTTTCATTTGTTATTGACTTTTAGTTGGCTGTGATGTACAGTGTAAATTCTTCCAGCTTTATCACAAAGTTTATATTATTCTCTTAAGAACATTAAACATGACCAAATTTGATACTTCGATGGAACTAAGAATCCACAGAAGTCTAGAGAGATTAAAAAGGGTTGCCTGCTGAAGTTCATCAGGCCAGTTATTAACAAAGCTGAGTTTATCAGTTAGTCTGCTAAATTCTAATCCTGAGATATTTCTGTTATTCCACAATTTTAGGAAAATTCCTTTACTACAATTAATTCCTTTGTAAAGATGCAACCATAGTAAAAATATACTTTCCATCTTAACACTACCTTAATTTTGAGACTGTTGCAACATCTTGTTTGATAGTATCATGTGTTTTTAAAAACCTGATAACTGGCAGCAGAACCTGAGTGCTGCAGTTTCCCAGTTGTACAAATTTGATTAAGGCAATTACTTTATCAACAGCAATTGTCCAGCTCTCAAACAGCACCTGGCTCATATGGTAACCCTTTATTATCCAGATTCTGAATAAAAATTAGAAAATGAAATAAATGACTGGCAGGTCAAATATCGAGTATCACCTTTATAAATGAAAAGGTCTAAGTTTACAGACATGCATGGTATCTTTAACTCAATTCCAGAATTAGGCCAATTAATGACCTAATCCTAAGCAAAGATGAAGCAGGGTGGGGGTCCCATGGAGGGCTCCATTTCTCTTTAGAAAATAGTGTAAACTGAGTCAGGCATGCAAAGTTTATTCAAATCCCTTCATCTCACTGGAGAGTAGTGAGCAATGAAGCAGAGAGACCAGGAATTAAACTAATTTGAGTGCCCCCTGTAATAACAAAAAAACAAGAGTAAGGAAATTGCTTTTCATAGAAATTTTTACTGAGCATATGTATAATGATGTCAGTTAAAATAACAAACTATTAGACTAGGATAAAAATTTAAGGTTTTTACATTGAATGATACTTTCACATAGTATCCAGTCAGAGCTAAACATATAGCCAGTGTATTTATTCTCTACTTATAGATAATTTACTTTTTATATTATATATAATCTACTTTTTGATCCTCAAGTGACTTTTTCCTCCACTTTCTAATAAATAATCACTGGATTAAAATGTCAAGGGTAACTAACATCAGCCCTAATACCAGAAAACCTGCATTGAGTCCGTACCCTGTTCCTGGCTATGCATTCATCTTCTGTGGATCTATACTCTTACCTGTTAAAATGAAAGCATGTAACTACATGATCCCCCAAATTCTTCACAACTCTCCAATTCTTGAATTATCTTTGGCCTTCTCTACCTAGATATAGTTGATTGTATCTAGGAAACTAAACCTCATTTTTAAGCTTAGTTTAAGAAAATTAAGATTATGGAGATAAACAGATAGCAAATCTCTCTCTCTCATACTCTCTTTCTCTGAATTATGATGGCATATATAATTTACAAATGACAATTTTTACGTATTGTCATTCTAAATTATCCTGGTTTCTGCTTCATTCCTTTTCTTTTTCCGTATCAACACATGAGTTTTCATTATGTTGTTCCTAACAGTGTAATTTATGACTCTGTATTACAACAAAACATTTTTCTAGGCCCAGAGGAAGTGTGCAATTAACAGTGAATTCCTTCTCTGTTAAATCATTTAAAGTATTTTTTTCTGGGTATTGATGTTTACAAACTTGACTCTGAGCCTTTGCTTTTATCTCTATCTTTAACAAGCTCGTGTTTGAAATAGGAATGTAATTACAGAACCAATATTGTTAAAGCTGATAAATACAAAAGCTAAAGAATAAATTTCCCCTGGTTATTCATGTTATTGACTCATTAACACATTTCATTGAGTGTTTTCATTTATTTGTAATATGTTATCTATCACGTGTCTTTATATATGTGCACTTACACCTACACATACTTCCCCTGCTTAAAAGATGCTAATTCAACAATTTAATGCCAGAAAAAGTTAACGTTTTTTAAAAGACAGCAGTTTACATCTATGATACTTACCATCATTATACTTTATTCATGGCTAACAATCTGATGTTTTCAAACAAAGGTATGGTGTGGAACCTCCTGGCCTGATAAAATTGGAAAAAGAAATTGAACAAGAAGAGACACTTTCTATCCCTTCTCCTTCACCTTCTCCTTCATCAAAGTCTTCTGGAAAAAAGAGTACAGGAAACTTATTGGATGATGCAGTAAGTAAAGTTGATCAGATTTCTTGGCAGCAGAAAGTGTTTTCAACTACAAGATATACTTTGTACAATCTCTCTTCAGTCTGACCTTAACCCTATTTCAATATGCTTGAAACTCATTTTAAACACCTATGAAAAAGTTTGTGTCTTTTGAAATTCAAAACTGAGCCATTCATTTAAAATAAAATACCACTTAATTCTGTCTGGTAAATAGTATCTAAAAATTTTCGGAAAATAAGCCAACTCTATGAAAATTGTATTTGAAAACACTTTAGCCTAATTTTTATTGGTTTATAATTCCTCTTTCCACAGATAAGAAGCCGAAGGAACAAAATCTTGATGATTGTAAAAGAAGGGAAAGCAAATATATGATAGGAGTGATAGCTGTTTTTTTAATGTGTAGTCTTTTATTATATTTTTTTATTTACATACAAAGTCATGAGTGGGGGATACATTGTGAAATTTATATATGTGCTTGTATCTTAGATTCACCCCCCTCCATTGTTCTCCCTTATTCTGTGCCCCCCACCCCCGATTCTTAGAACAAGTTCAACAGGTTTCATTGTTCTATTTTCATGCACAAATACAAATTACATCTACCATATTCACCTTCTTCACCCTCTCCTTATTCCCCCCTCCATTGCTATCCATCCCTGGACAGGACCAGTTTTACCTTGCTGTCCATTTTTTAAGTGTATATTGATTATTCAAGGAGATTTTGCCTTGGTATTCCAAATATGTATGGAGATTACAGGGAGCCAAGAGAGCAAAAGAGAATGACAATGTAATGTACTATAAACTGCTGAATAATTGGGAAGCAGGTCGGTAGGGAAAGAGAAAGTAATAGAGGGGTTAATCTGATTAAAACTGTGCTTTATTCACTGTCTGCTATCAGCCACAGCCAATCATTATTTTCTCAAGGGCTCTCATATCTGAAAGACAGGTTTCTTAGAGAGGAAGTAGAAACTTAGAAGATTTATAACCTGCTGAAAGAAGCTTAGATTCCAATACAGTTTTATCTGACTTTCTGATGTCTCTATACTAAGCAGAGTCTTTGAGTTACAGTTTTGACAATGAGGATCTATTTCAGTGATATCTTCAAAATCACAATAAATGTTTCTATGTATAACAGCAAACAGGATAAAGTAAAATTCTCAAGAAATTTCTATTGTCTGCTAGGGAATTCTTGGTTATGATGGCTAGTGCATTTGATTATATACCCCCATAAATGTATATTTTGAGTACAAATGTAAACAATCAGAGAAATCTTAAGTGATTGGGATGTTGCTTATGTAAAGTATGCATCTATTGAGTTGTAATCACTTATGAGTTTCATAGAAAATGTCAATAGCAGAGATATTAGACTGAAGTATGTCTTACATTCATAGGCAAAGGCCTTAGAAACTAGCTGTATAGAATATTCAGGAATTCTGGTCACTAGCTGGGAGATTGTTTCTCTAGGGTCTAAGCCTAAAAGAGCTGGAAAAATGGCTGACAGACACAATAAGATTCAGAAAAAGAGATTTCTCTCTTTCTCTCTCCTGTTTTTTTTTTTTTTTTGCTTTTCTCCATCTAACATCCCTGATGCTGTATATTAAGATGAAAAGAAGCACATTAATCTGCCTTAACAATCAAGAGGTATCATTTTCACTAAGGGAAATAAGCTTAAACTTAGCATATCAAGGTACCTTAGCCAGTGTCATTTTTCAGTGAATTTATTTTGGGTAACTGTTCAGTCCACTCAGGGCATAAAAAATAAGCAAAACATTTTAATTTAATGCTACACAAAGGTATTTTAAAGTCCTCTTAAGGATCAGTCACACACCATGCTTTTTATATTACTTCATTTGAAAAATTCTGTACAGACATTGAAAAACATATTATAGTAGATAATGATGTATTATTTAAATATTGCTGAGAATAATTTTCCATAACATTGCATTGTAGTAAATAATGGTGCATTATTTACATTTGGACAAGAATAAGTTTTACATTGTCAGTTACACATTTTCTTTTGGATTTGTTGTAGTGTAAGATTCTCCTTTAGCCTTTCTCTTATAAATGTATTTCTTTGGTAAACTACACCTGTTCTTAGTCTTTTCTTCTCAGTTGTGACATCTGATAATATTCTTTAATAAATTATCTAGCCAATATCACCATTTGCCTCCTAATGAATTAATTACTGATTTAAATGATTTTTTTTTAGTCCTCAAATTATGAGGCCACCTCCTGCCACTTACTACTGTTAAACACCTGACTCTTTAAATTATTCTCTACAAATATTCCTCCAACTAGAGTGTTCCAACTAATTGCAACTTGGACTCAACTAAAACTATGTAGGGGTTCCCCATATGATTCAGGTTAATGTTCAAACTGATTCACATGCCACATACGCCCTTCATGTTCTGGTGCAGTGTGTGTTACCCAGCTCCTCCATTTCTGAACTAGTTCCTACCTTTTGACATAGCCATTATTATTTCCTCACCATACTTCTTATTTGTCTTTTAAATATATTTTCATCTTTTAATATGCATGTTGTGTTGTTACTTTCTATACAAAGTTTTTGTTGTCATTTCTCATCACAGGTTGTCATTTCTCATCCCATTCAGATTAATTTATTCTCCAGATGTCCTGATAGAATGATTCTGCTATGACAAAATGGTGGGATCGGGTTCAGTTCTCTTTGCATTCCCATGTGTTGAGCTAGTTCCCACACAATGAGTTGAATACAGTTCTAAGAAACCATTCTTAATTTCTTCCTCTTCTCCATCAACTTCCTCAGTCTGGGGATGTGAGATAGTATAATTCTGAGTAATCAGGCTCCTCTTGAAATCCCATTTCAACAGAAAACTGGCTAGCTTCCTAGCCAAGAACAGAACACCTGCCAGACTGACTTATCCCAAGGTAATGTAAGAAGCACAGAAGTCATCAGTCACTGTTTACTTAACAATATATTTCAGTCTAGACTTGTCTCTTCTATTTTTGCCTCCATCTCTCACACAACACACAAAAAAGTTCTTAATTTTTAAAATCATGTCCATTTTCAAAGTGAGGAAGGCATTAGAAAATGTTTCTTTGACTCTGCTTCATATAACACCAACAGTTTCTGTGTTTTGTCTCAAGTTGTTACGATATGGAAATACTTTCTGTGCAGACTTGTGACTGTCATTTCTTACCAGAGGAATCACTTGATCCTCAATTTACTGTTTTCTCAGCCAGTTGCGAACAAGATGGTACAAAACGTGATGGCCCTACAGTTCGGATCTCAAACTGGGTGCTTCAATACTGTCTATCTGCTTTTCTTCTTCCCTCCTTACTTTCCCTCATCCTTATTGTAGTGCAAGCCCTTGTTGTAGTGAGGAGAGTAACTGTATCACTTCTAGAAGTGACACATATAATTAATATATTTAATAAATGCATAGAGAAACACTGAAAACAATACATGAATGAGTTCATTGATCCTTGGATAGCACCCACAACCCAGGACATGGCTTTGCATTATTGGAAGGGAATCATACTACCATTACCCAACTTTTATACTTCTTGTTTTAGTATCACCATCCAACTATAGATTATCCTTTTAAATATTCTTTGGGAACAGAATTCTGTTGATGCATGTATAAGTGGATGATGTATCTGTGGACAAAGTATAAGTATGATGGAAAAAAGTTCAGAACTCAAAGTCATGGCCTAATCACTAACTTAGTGATAGGCAGTTCCCTCATTTTTCAATGAAAGGCATCTCTAAGTTTCTCTGAATCCAGCTTTACTCTGTTCCATTAATCTCTTTTTTGATTATAAACACTTTTATTAGGATATATTTATTATAAGGGGAGATTCATAGTGACAATTCCAATTAGGTTTATATGTACACTGCTTAGATTATTCCCATTGTCTTTTTCCCTCAACCCTCTCCCTGCCCCACTTAAAGCAATTGCAAGAGATTTCTTTGTTCTATTTCATATATGAATTCTACCAACCATATACCCTCATCTTTATCTCCTTAATTCACCCTCTCCCCTCCCACTAGTACCCCCACACACTGAACCTATTTTACAGTCCTGTCTTTTATTATTATTTAAGTTGATGTTCAAAGGGGTGTCTCAATGTATCCCTGCTGTGGATATACTTAATATGCCTTAGTGTCCTGTATAGATAGGTCCATGTTATTACTCATGTATTCATTCATGTATTCAGTGTGCATGTATTGAGTACTTGTTAAGGCCATTAAACAACTGTACTTTATATAAAGGATTTACAAATATATGAAATACATTTTTGTTATTGAATTCCTTAAGGAACTCAATCTAATCAGGAGATCTTAATATTATCTAACAAGTGAGATATAATAAATAGGCTTGTATGTTGGCAAAATTAAAGATGGTAAAAATATCCATACTCTTCATACTTTTTAGGAAGACATATCATAATTAACTATAGGTCACTAAGCTGTACATTAGAGTTCTTGAAATTATTCCTCCTATTAACTATAACTACATATTCTTTGACTTATGTCTCCTCATTTCTCCCAGATCTCTAATCTTTCTAGTTTCTAGTAACCACTATTCTACTCTCTATTTCTACAAGATCAACACTAACATGTTCCACATATTAACAAGATCATGAAATACTTGTCTTTCTGTGACTGACTTATTTTACTTAGCAAATGTCCATGTTCTTCTATGTTGTTGCAAATAACAGAAAAGACTTTCTTATAGCTAATAGTATATCATTGTGTATATAAACCACATTTTCTTTATCTATTCATCTGTTTGTGATCACAGGTTGTTTCACTATCTCACTTGCTATGATTAATGCTGCAAAAAATATAGGAGTACAGATATTGCCTTGAGATACTAATTTCTTTTCCTGTGGATATATTGGTAAATCACATAACAATTCTGTTTTAATATTTTGAGGAACCTCCATATTGCCTTTCATAATGGTTGGTTTTTTTTGTAAATTTTTTGTTAGGATATATTCATTATACAGGGGAGATTCATAGTAACAATTCTGATTAGACTTATGTAATACATTAGCTACATTGCCCCATCGCCTTTCCCCCTCAATCCCCTCCATAATGGTTGTTTATTCCTGTCAAGAGTGTGCAATGTTTTCCTTTTCTGTCCCTGACATTTTTGTAGAGGAGTTTTATTCAGAATGTAAATTCGTTGTGCCCAGCTTCTCAAATACAGATTGTATGTCATTTTGTTTTGGTTTGGTTAATTGCTTAGTTGAAAGGAGGACCATAAAGAAACACAGAATTGTAGATTCTTAATCAAGGAAAACATACACGTAAATCTTATTCCCAGAATCATGGACTATTACATTATCTTTTGATGTAACAACTGTTATCAGCATTGGGCACATATCATTTCAATTGCATGGTTTTAAGAATGAGGAAATTTATACTATTCATAAAAATTACTATTCAGGAATGAGTTACATAAAATACACAAAAATTCCAAGATATGGCCAAGCAAATAGGGTTTGGTGACGGTTACTAAAATGGAGTAAACCAGTGGGTGAATCTGAGTGAACTGGAGATGGTCTTAGAAAAAAATCTTAGAGCTCAAATAAGATGAAATGATAATCTCACATTTTCCCTTTATTTTGAACATGAGTCAAAATGAATATAATTAAATTATACCAAGGAAACAAACTATGTTAGCATATATTTTATTCTACTTTTCAGTATGTTTACCATATTCTGATCATTTTACTCTACAAAAATGAGAATGCAGCTCATCATTCCTGTAGTAGCAATTGATTTCCAGACTGTTCTTCCAGCCTCATCACTGCTGTCATCCTGCTATGCCTCAGTGTAGTCAGTGGTTTCAGAAGATGCCTTCAGCATGTGACCTTTACATAGTTATGACACAGTGCCGTAGTATGCCTGGCCTCATATCATGGCCATAGATTTAGAACAAGTTCAAGATTATTAATGGTTCAGGTACTTTGGAGTCTTTAGAAAAAAATTAATCTACATGTAACCTGATTAAGGAGAGTGAACCCGCCTGCTCTTCTTTTACAGGTGAAAAGAATTTCTGAAGATCCTCCTTGCAAATGCCCAAACAAGTTCTGTGTAGAGCGGCTCTCCCAAGGGAGATACCGAGTGGGAGAAAAGATCCTCTTCATTAGGGTAAAGTTTTACATTTACCTGTTATCTTGTTCTTTATGAGAATATTCTGAATATTGGGGGAAATTGCAGGTGAAACAGGACAGGTAACAAAGCAGATACTTCCTATGTGCGTACAGTTGAAATGGAGCTGCAAGATATCAGTGCCAGTTAAAGCAGTGTACAAGATAATGTACTACTGAGAGTTAAATACATAGAACTATCTTTTTTACATATATACAAACACACAAAAAGACAATAAAGATGAAATGCAATGAGCAAAAGAATAACATACTCCTTTTTGATCTTGTAGATGTTTGATTGCTTAGTTTCAAAGGCACTACCACACCACCCCACTTCAGGGGACTAGAAACATTGTTCTTCCTTGGTCTTCCATGCCTCATGTTACGGAAATGGTCATTCTTTTCATTGTGGGTACCTTTCAGATGATTTCAACATGATTTTTTGAGAATTCTGGTTTATGGACCAAAGTGAGAGAATGAAAGCTCAATACATTAGCAAAGCTAAATACTGACTGACATTTCTTACTTAGTTTTTCTAGTCAGAGTAAGAGAGACTGGACCAAAAATTGATTTGTTAGTCACTATCTATTTCACAATGTTCCTAATTAATATCACGAGCAGTCTTACATTGCAATGGGTGGCTGGGTAAAGTAGTATTTCAGATCTTTTACTCAGAATCTGTTTTGCCTATAATCAAGAGAGTTTAATCCCTCAAAATAAGTTTGTGAATTTTACAAAGATCAAGAATTACTCTTTTTTAAAAATAAGATAATGAAGATATCACTGATATATTCTTAAAATCTTCATAAAAGTATTTTTGTGCCTTTTTAATCATTTCCTGAAGTATAGAGGCTATAAATCAAAGAAACTGTATTCTCATCTCATTTGAGTAAATTAAAAGTATTTTGCTTGTTAATTTGTAGAAGAGAATGCTTTGAAAGTGTGCATGTAGTACAATGAATTAGCCTTCTTAAACTATGCAAAACTATGGTGGCCCACTAGAAATTTTGCCAGTGTAAAATTTTCTTATTTGAACTTTTAACTGAAACTTCTTTGTATGACAGGTCTTTTTTCCAAGACACTGCAATGTGTATTTGAGGAAAAGTTTTATCATAATTTAATCTTAAAAATGTAGTGTCTATCATTTCTTATTTTAACCTAATTTTAGTTCAGTTATTTTTTACTGATATTCTTACTATTTCCAGGTAATAAGTGATATTCTGTATTGCAAGGATGACAGTAAAAAACAATATAACATTATATTATTACTAGAGATTTGAGAATAAATCTGGGTAAATGACATCACTAGGAAAAACAGTTGCCTGAGTTGCTTACTATTCTTTCTTCTTTATTGCAAAGATAACATGCCTTTTTAAGCTGAAATGCCTGTTTTTGCTTTTCCTTATTAAATAATAATGATTCAGAATCTCCCTGGTTGTGTTAAAATTTTACCAGGATGACCTTTCTCCTTTGAGAATCAGTGTCCACCAGAATATTGGGTCCTAGAATGTATAATCAAAAGAAAGAGCTTTATTTAAATAATAAAGTATCTTTTTAATTATAGAAATATTAATATAGCACATGATTAATAAATTAGATACTTACCCTCATTGTAACCTAAATTCTTCAAGAATATATATTATATATGCTTAATTATGTCTTATCTCCATATTTATTCAATTATCAGATAACATCATGTTTATGAGTAGCATAAGTTATAATATTTAACACAGAAGTATTTTTTTGACAGTGAATTTTTCTTTTCAGTAAGTGGATTCCTTTTGGTGAATTTTATTCATGTATTATTTATAAAGGAATTGAGAATTGCATTACTGAAAAAATATGTGAAATTCCTTAGTGATAACATTTTATTTAATATCAGCTGAAACACCACATCTTGTGCATACTCAATTTTTACTTCAAACATCTGGGCAAGCCTGTAATGAAAGAGTTCGTCATGATGTGGTTGTTCACTGATTGAGTCAGCAGATTATCACCTTAGGGTGTTATGAAGTGCTTACAACAATGTTTTAGTGAACTCTAACCAATTACTGTCTTGATTTCTGCACTGTCCACACACAATTTTACTATTTTTAAAACAAATGTCAAGTGAAAACTGATCCTTTAAAAAAAAAACCTTAATTTTTAAGGAAACTTTCTATCACTACCTAAACAAACCAAAATTATGTGTCCAAAACAGGGGGGAAAAAGAAACCCATATTTTTAACCTGCTTGCTGTTAGTTCATTTCCAACCTGGTGATTCTAAAAAGGCTCTCTTCTTGTCTCTGGTTATCCTTAGAGGCTGAGGAATGAAAATCTCACAGGTAGCTCATTTGTACCTTTCTTTGCACATTTTCTCAAATGGTCAAGCAAAACACATCTCATGGATGTGCACTCACTTTGGCTAGTACTTTTGATTTGTGGCTGGAACTATAGTTAATGGATTGTCATTCTGCTTTAACTCATTGTAAGGAACCACAATGAGTTAAAACACATTTACTACTCAATAAAAACCTCACAGGCATTCATCTTATGGTTGTTGTAGCTAATACTTTAACTGTATTTCTTTGAATACTTGGGTTAACTTCTCACATACAGTAGGTGAATGATCACCTTACAGTGTCTGTTACAGTTCTACATTTTTAAGTTTGCATTTTTAACATGGGCATATTGCAAACTTTGTCATATCATTTTGTGCCTGTGTTTATATATATTATTCTATAAAATATACATACAATGAAACACACATGGTATCTCAGCCTTTGTACCCTAGTTATCAGCCTGTCCTGGGAGTTGCAGTATCTTCCTGTGATCATAATGAACCTGTCCAATTCAAAGAATAATGCAGGGTCATTTAAGCATATTGAAACTGTTAACTTCACTCTTAGAGATAGCACAATTATCAAAATAGACTCTGAAAGAATTATTCCTAAAAAGTCATATATTCAAGATTCTCTAAATAAGCCTATCTCTAACACACTAACTCTTTACCACCTTCCAAGGTTTGTTGACAACATCACTCACTTTACTTTTGTATTGTTTTATGACTATGTATGTACATAAGTATATCTTATCTTTACATTCAGACAAACATAATGACAAAAGCCAAAAACATAAGTGCAAATCACATGACAAGGGCAAAGCACATATGGGAGATATAGGAATAGGTAGAAAACCCAAAACATGAAAGCGTTTGATGTCCCCACTCCAGAGGAACTAATACAGAAACCTTAAAATGACAGAGGTCAACATGAGAAGGGGATCAGGAACCAGTGTAAAGATCAGTTAGAGATGAATCAACTTGGGATGTAACACATGTGTACATGAAAGCAATGCTAAGAATCTTTCTGTATAGCTATCTTAGCTCAACTAGCAAAAACACTTTGTCTTCCTTATTATGCTTGTGTCTTTTCTTCAACAAAATCAGTAATAAGGGCAGAATAGGACCGGCTTGGAACTGAGTGGGGGAGAGGGGGAGAGGATGGGAATGGGGTTCAGGGTAGAGAAATGACCCAAACAATGTATGCACATGTGAATAAATGAATTTAAAAAAAAATAATAAGTGCAAATTTCAGAGAAGTACCAGGAAGACACCTCATGCAGAGAATATTTTTGCTGAGTTTGCCTTGTCTGTGAATTTCTAGAAGCCAGTATATGAATAGGTACTTCTTAAAGGTTCAATGTACACCTATATAGATACATCTATATGTTTATGTAGACATGTTTTTGTATAGATATGTAACTCTATTTATTGGTAGGAAATTAATCTCTACCCTAGCATAAAGAATCCTTTAGTATAAAGAAAATTATTTGAGAATTTTGACTTTGGTTTTATGCAAACATCCTAAAAATCCTGTCAAATAGGGTATTTTTTGTTTCTAGCTGATCAGAAACAATTTCCCAAACATTGGATACCTTCCAGTGAGTAAAGCAGGTTTTTTTTTTTAACTATCAAATGCAGCTAATGTCCAAATAATGTGTGTCAAATTACTTTCCTCCAAGGTATACACATTTCAGTTATTTTTCACTGACTTTTGAATTTTGATGGTAGTGATAAAATCTCCTTACTAATTTCTGCAGTAACGGAGATTGGAATATTTACAATCAGCCTTGATAGGTTTCTCTGAAATACAAGCATGTGGATATATCAGTCCTTATGCCTTGATTTCTAGGCAGTGAGAAGTAAGAATTTTCTCCTCTTCTTTTGTTCAGTCACTTGATACTGACATAGGCTTCAACTATCAAGAAGTCAGTAGGCAATATCAGTCTGTATGATGTTTCAGGAAGGGACTTCAAAACTATTTATTAGATACTGCAAAAATGTATATGCTATTTGACTTGTCGACCCCAATTTGAGGACTACAATCAATGTATATAATCTAACAGTGATTTGTAAAATGGCCCCCAGTTGAGCAGCATCAGTATCATCCAGGAACTTGTGGGAAATGCAAATTCTCAAGCCTTCTTCAAGACTAACTGAATCAGGAACTTCAAGGTTAGGACCCAGACACTGATGTTTTAATATGCCCTCCAGGTGTTCCTGATGTATGCTGAAGTCTGAACACCACTAATCTTTAAAAGAAAGAACTAGATGTAAGAAGAGAATAGTACGACAGCACAATTAGAAAGCATGTGCAAGTCTTATCATGCAAGAATATTACCATGGAGGTACTAAAAAAACGATCATTTTAAAGACTAGTATGTATTTTGGGGGAAATCCTAAGATACAAGGTTAAGTGGACAAGTAGGCTTTTAAATAGTAAAATAGCTTGTATAAAAATGATATATTATTTGATTAAGACTTAAACAGAGCAAAATAATTGACAACTTTCAGTTGTTGAGAACATTGAATTATGAGTGAGCAAAAATTTTTTGTTCTTCATTTCTGATGATAGTATTAAAAATATTTCCAAGAGAAGTCAACAACTTAATTACAAATTTAAAAATAAATAGAAGGCTCTTTGAAAGTTATAGATTAATTAGTTCACTGCTCAATTTAA